CTCGGGCATCTCTTTCGGATGCCTCCTGGGCGCCTTCCTAGGGAGGTGTTCCGGGCATGTCCCACCGGGAGGAGGCCCCGGGGAAGACCCAGGACACGCTGGAGGGACTATGTCTCTCGGCTGGCCTGGGAACGCCGCGGCATTCCCCCGGAGGAGCTGGAGGAAGTGTCTGGAGAGAGGGAAGTCTGGGCATCTTTGCTTAGACTGCTGCCCCCGCGGCCCGGTCCTGGATAAGCGGAGGAAAATGGATGGATGTTCTACTTGTTTATTTTGTGGTTTGTTAAAAATGTAGTCTAATGAACTCATCATGAACAGACACGTTACAATTTGAAGTTTTCATGTTTAGCGACTTCTCCAACCCATTCTGATTACTTTTCTCACAGAGAGTTGTGGTGCATCGAATCTTGCCAGCCCTGACTTCTGAGTTTGTCAATCCAGACATGGTTCCCTTTGTGCTGCCCAATGTGCTACTGATTGCTGAGGAGTGCACCAAGGAGGAGTACATTCGTCTCATCTTGCCTGACCTCACACCTGTTTTCAAGCAGCAAGAGCCTGTCCAGGTAGACACACAAACCTTCAGCACCAGAGGTTATGTTAACTGAATATTTTCTGTCATTGATGGAATTTTTTGAATAATGACAGAAAAGTCTGTCAGGAAACCTAGTGGCAGTCAGCTCTGCACCAGGCTAAGCTACAGTAGGTCAGTTGAGTTCAATTCAGTTAACCTGCCTTGGTGTAAATGGGTGGTTCATATTTTAATGGTAACAGTCCAGTTTTGTACAATTCCAGTGTTTATATTTACTTGTTTAAATGGCCTCCACTGTTACTGCTGAAAAAAAGTCATCTGCTTTATGTGTTGACATGAAAAGTGTCTGCACATAAGCTTGTTCTATAAGGTAATTATTAAAAATGTCCTATAATTAAACAATGGAAATTAAATTGATGGGTAATAATAAATTATTTTTATGCTCCTGTCTGTCAAAATGATGGAAAACGAGAGCCTAGCATGACCTCTGCTCAGCACATGAAATAGACTATTCTTTACTAGGCTATGTAGGCAGTACCACTATAATCGAAGCATGTTTTACTAAGCTAGCAATGCACTCAACTGATATATTCTCATGTAATGTACTGTGTCCTTCTGATGTTTTCTCCCTTTTGGCAGCTGTGTGTTTGAGATTTGACAGTGAGATTCACCAGTTAAATGTAACCTGACTAAAGGGCATGCACTGTTTGGGCTCGGTCTGTCACTTTATCAAGACTTGTCTTTCTCTCTGTTTTTCTTCCCATGCTTCTTCAGGCTAGTAATATGGTGAGTGGTCTCTGCTCCAGCCATATCAGCTAGTGATGTGTTGTACTAAAAGCTGTACTAAAACCACTGAAGACACAGTCTCTGCTCACTTCCACTTACTTTTAGTAGATGATAGGATAGTATTCTTTTGCTTTTTTTGACTGTTTTTATAACGGGGTCTCTGTTTTGTGCAGATCCTGCTGATCTTCCTGCAAAAGATGGACCTGCTGCTGACCAAAACGCCAGCAGAGGACATTAAGAACAGTGTGCTGCCTATGGTCTACAGAGCTCTGGAAGCCCCTTCTATACAGATCCAGGTACATGGAGAAGGCTGCCTAGAATTTGAGGTGCTGTTGAAAAAAACATAACCCAGTTACCTGTAAGTCTTGGAAACCAGAAAACCACCCGATCAATTATAAATGGTAGTTAAAATGTCTATCAGTCATGACAATCGTCATCAAACGGGCCATAACTGAAGAAACTACTGTATACTTGTCTTTTGAAAAAGCCAGATGGTTTTGTGCAAAGATATTTAAAAATATTTTTAGGCATTACCTTTTTTTTTGTCAGCTGCTCCTACTATTTGTTCTCTTTACAGTATTAAGAATACAGTAAAAATGGATACTGTACATCATAAAAAAATGCCATGTATTTCATAACATCTTATCTGTGGCCGAGCAGGAGCTGTGTCTGAACATCATCCCGACATTTGCCAACCTGATTGACTACCCGTCAATGAAGAACTCCCTCATCCCTCGAGTCAAATCGGCCTGCCTACAGACCTCCTCACTAGCTGTGAGTCTGTTATTTTCTGCCCCCAGATTGTTCCTGCCAGATTGCCTCCATCAAAATATTTTTTGGTAGCTGTGTCTTTAAAGTGTCTTTACTTGTGCCCCTGTCCTTCTCCAACAGTCGTGCTCGCAAATGAAGTGTCTGAATTTGTCTCTCAAAATATCACCTCACTGACTTCGCCCATGTATGGATTGTCTTTTGTTGCTGCGTAGGTACGAGTGAACTCCCTGGTGTGTCTGGGAAAGATTTTGGAATATCTAGACAAGTGGTTTGTCATTGATGAGATCCTGCCCTTCCTACACCAGATCCCCTCTAGAGAACCAGCAGTACTCATGGGCATTTTAGGTAAACAAACTACTCGTACTCTTTTTACTTGAGCAGTCTCTCCGTTTGCTTGATGATTGATTCACTGTCTATCTTTTTACTTTAGGGATTTATAAGTGCACCTTCAGCCACAAGAAGTTGGGCATCCCGAAAGAGCACCTTGCCACCAAGAGCCTGCCTCACCTTGTCTCTCTTTGTATAGACAACAACCTCAACCTGAACCAGGTACGACAGTCAAACATATGAAACTGTACAGTACATGTTTAAAATGTCATTTACCTGCAAATCTGTGGAAAACCTCTGAAGACATTTTGCACAATCTGTTTAAATTAGATTTGTCATTTCTAATTTACTTCAGCTCCTACTTCTCCTGACTAATATATTGCATGTTTTAGTTTAACTCATTCATGGTGGTTATACGTGACATGCTGAGTCGTATGGAGACTGAACACAAGACCAAGTTGGAGCAGCTGCATATTATGCAGGAGCAGCAGAGGTATCCACAGTAATTCATTCTGTACAATAGTCCTTGTTCGCTTTGATCGTTTGTAATAATCAAATAGTCACAAATATTCATGGAATTTTTATTAACAGATTAGTTAGGACATCTGGGCTGATCAGGCTTTTGCAAATGCCTCTATTCAAATTTTTTTTTCTTTTTCTGATTTTGTCCACTGATGTCTTTTTTCCTAACAGGAGTATAAATATTGCAAATCCAGGAAACCAATTAGAAGAGACCAAGAGCCCACCTAGCTCTGGCAACCAGGTGAGAGGCTGATTCCATCTTGGTGCAGTAACACATTAGAGCAGTGGTTCTCAAACTTTTTGTGTCCAAGGCACACCAAAGGGCAAGCCAAAACTCGAGGCACACCTGTATTCATGTCCATAGAAAATAGCCTCTATACCACGTTATCAGCTTTGTCACTCTGTAAACATTTGTTTATTTACTTATGGCAAATAAAATGAGTGAGTGAGAGAGGAGGGGTAGATCTGGCATGAGAGGGAAGCATCAAGATGCAATCACTCCTTACAGACCAAATTAAGAAGAGATGCACTGGGAATAAAAACTAAATACATATCGACAGAGAAGAGTATGCACTGAGTTGGAATAAAAAAACTTTAAAGAAAAGAGATGCATTGGGAATGAAAAGTAGTTGACACTGAGTTGAAAAGAAAAATCTTAAATGGAACTTAGATTTAAATCAGCATTTGATATTGTAAATATTGTTTCCCTATTTAAAAGCTAGTGAGACATGTGCCTGTCGGTGCTCAGAGATATTAAAAAAAATCCTTGGTGAGATTGAAGAGAGCACATCTGGACCTAGCATGACACCTGCAATATTTTTTTTTTTTTTTTTTTTTTTTACAAGCGGGGAGAATGAGTGTCTCTGCTACCGTGTGAGGTTTCATCTACTTTGCAATAAGCTCTGCTAGCATATAACTTGCCTCTGTCACCTTATTGGACAATTTCACACAATCCCACAAACAGCCTTGCTGTCTCCGGTGCAGATGTCGTGCTCTTAGGCCACGTTTCTCTCAATGTAGAAGGGATGTTTAGTTTCCAATTGCCTTTCAGTTTGCTTGGCACCACATTAGCTAATTTCACCCAACAGATGATGCACTCGGGCTGAGGGCTGTTGACATTCACGGTCAAGCTGAGGCCATAAGGCAGGGTTCGTGATACACTCTACTGACAGTCCTTCTCTTTTCTTGTGGCTGTTCTTTTAGGCTATATGATTTGTCTCTAAAATGGGAAATTAGTGCATATAAAGTACTGATATAGTAAATAAAAAATTCATTCATAACCTTTTGTATCATTGTATGCTGCAATACCGTTATATGGTTGTCATAAGATCACACAGCACACCAGTGTGCCATGGCACACCATTTGGGAACCACTGCATTACAGAATATGATTTTATTTACTGTGTAATAAATATTTTCTGTTGTCTAAAAACGTGACCTCACTGTAGTATAGTAATTCCAACATCTTTTTTTTTTTGCTTTCAGATTGACAAAATCTTTGGCAGCACAGGGGTTAATGGGAAAGAGAATGGATCTGCAACAACAGCTTCACAGCCTAATAGAGTATGGCCTCCTTTACACACTGTTTCACCTTTGCTAACTTAGCATGTGGTCCATTTTGTTAATGGTTTCTCTTCCTGTGAAACCCTAAAGATGTCCCTGACTCTAGAGGAGAAACAGCGATTGGCTAAGGAGCAGGAGCAAGCGGCCAAACTGAGAAACCAGCAGCCGTTAGCGCCACAGGCTGTCAAACCAGCCACCACCACCAACTCGCAGGTAAAAGCTGCATACTTCTGAGTACAAAAACACATACTCATGCTCAGACACTAATGTGGTGATAAATCTCTGTTTTATGTTGTAGACTAAGGATCTGACCAGCATCCTTCTCAACAACATGACATCACTAAACAGCCTGTCTTTGGCCAACACAGCAAGGCCAGCACCAGTGCAAGGCACCACCATCTCTGCCTTCCCCTCCTCCAGCCCCATGGCGGGCTCCATGGGTGCCTCGGTCTCTAACGGCTTCAACCCAACTATGGGCTTCCAGACAGGAGGCATGGGGATGGGCATGCGGCCCGCAGGCCCCAGCCTCTATGGTGGCATGGCCGCCACCACCAGCACCCCAAACTTTGGAGCCCTTGCACAGAACCAAGGACACACTGAACAGACAAATAAAGCCCCCAACATGTCAGCCTTGGACAATCTTTTTACATCCAACAAGCCCAAAGTTACCCTCAACCAAATGGGTCCAATGGCTACACCTGGAACAAACACCCCTTGGCTTAGTCAGTTTGGTTCAGGCCAGAGCACTCAGACTCAGCTGCAGGGTGCACCTGTAGGTATGGGAGGAGTGCCAAGCGGGTTTGGGATGCAAGCAAACCCTTTTTTCAGTCCTCAGAACTTTTCTCAACCTGCTACTGCCCCTAGCATGAACCAAAGTGGAATTAAACATAGTGCATCTGTCAACAATGATTTGAAAGACTTGTTTGGCTAAAGTCTGTTTAAAAGATGAAGGGTTAGGTTTATTCTTTTAACTACTTTGAACAGAACCGCCTTGAATTCTCACAGACCAAGACACCGATTGAATGTGAAGATTTTAATTCTTGCAGGGTTGTTGCCGTCTGTATTTTTAATCTGACCTGGTTTAAATTCGGACTTGATCACATTCAGCCGGCAGATGAACCTGTACCTGAATTCCATTTCTACTTGACGAGAAGAACAAATGGTTGGGCTGGGAAGTACTACTTTTATGCTGTGCTCTTTATATGCTGGGGCTTCCCTACTTTTTGTACTTGACATTCTTGGGAGTCCAAATCTCATAGGTTGAGATGACTTCCAGCTCAGTTTCTTTAGCAAGGTTTTGTGGTCCTACCATGAATAAATGAGAGGATTGAATGTATTTCACTTCCTGAACATCAGAATCACTGCTTAAAATTGGAAGAAAAGGCAGAAAATGTTCAGTTTCAGGTGTTTGTACCTTTTTATTGCTTCTTCAGACTATTTTAGGAATCAAGTCTAAACTAATCAGAGTCATGGCTTAAAACAAATAAAGCATTCACCAAAATGTCTTGAGCCCAGTGGGAGGTAGCTTGAAATGTAGCACTGACAAGCCTGCACACACTGATCCACATACAGGAGGCTCCTCTGTGGAGGAACTCTGAAAGGGGGTGTAAAAATTGACAGCCTAGCAGCTGCTGTTTACATGTGGCAAGGAGAGTAAGCCCTCTGCTGTCAACCTCCGTGGAGAAGCTTCTCTGTAGCACCCCAAATTAGACTTGTGATCTTCATTTCCCACCTCTCATTCTCTTATAGTGCAATTCTTGTGCTGCAAAACCTGCTTTTTTTCATAATTTACTTGGACATCTAAGCAAGCATGTTGAAGAGGAAAGGGTCAGAGATTGCTGATGACCATTACACCTCTTTTGGATACAAGAACCATTGAATCAATTTCTGTAAATGCAGTATGATTGATTATGGGTCTGGCAGTGGATTAGGATGTGTGAAATAGTTATTACAGCAGTGTCCTTTAACGAGATGCTAAAGATGGTAAACAAGGAACATAAGAGGCTATTGTGCCTTACATGGGTATATGTGTAAAACTAAACAGACAGGTCTTGAATATTAATAGCTTCCCTTAATCTGTCTGGGATTTGCTTTTCAAATTACTTGCTTTGTTGTATGTCACTGAATTTGACCACAAAGGAACTAAAGTCTGATTTTAGCATTTTTTTCTAATGATGATTCCTAATGATTCTAGTGACCAGTGCATTTTATTTCACACATCCAGCTGGATTTGCAGTGATGAGATTTTTAAGCAGCTCAAACCATTCCTGTTGAGTTTGTACTATATATTTTGATTTCAGCACTTTTCCACTGTTAGAGGATTGTACTGGCAACATATGAACTGTAAATTTATAGTGATATAAAAATGGACTGCACTGTTGTCATAAAGGTTAAGAGGCCTTAGATGAGTCGTGTGCAATAATCCTTACTGGTTGTTGAAGGTGCACACTGTTTGTCTCAAGCAGCTTTCAGCTTGTGTCCATACCTTCTTTCCGTTGACCTACAATAAAAGGCCTGCCAGATTTTCTAATCTGCTAAACATTTTTGAAGCAATTTACACCATTTTGGGGTTTTTAGATGGATCATGATTGTTAACATTCTGAAGTGTAACATTTTTACTGGATTGTTTGTTCTGTATAATATTGTCACCCATACCTGGCAGGCTTTCTGTCAGTTTGGCAGCATTATTTGGGTCCTGAGGTTCTGTTTATTCCCACATTTTACCATACATGACTACAAACGTTTCTGTGATTGGATCTTTTTCATTTTTGGATTGAGTTTATTGTATGTGGCAGTTTTGATTTTATCACATAGCGGGTTTGACCTTTGGAGCCTGTGTCACATATCCTGGCAGAACCCCAAAACTGAAAACTAAAGCTTATTCTTCTACAGCATTACTTGTATACTACTGCAGTCATATATATGTATAGTGTGGGCCTTGTTTTATGTGTTAAGGTGGTTCACTGAAAATCTGTACATACACAGTAAAGGAAAGTGCACAATCCGATATTCACAAAGGGTGATTGTTATTTGTATGATGGCTTTCAAACCATACTTCAGATACTAGAGTACAGGTAACTTTAGGAAGTAAAAATGAAGCTGAAACAGCAGTATTCAGTATTAATAATTTAAGATTTACATGCACAGTTTAACATTGCATAGAAGAAAAAATCATTTTCCTTTGGTTTCATGTTAAGTATCTTCTCAAAAGGTAAACTTTCACCCTTATTACAAGGCAGTATTCATGAACAATTTAAGGTCTAAGCATAAAATAAGGCGGGATCATTAGAAACAATAGTAACATCCTTTTGATTTTAGGTTAAAGTCTTTGTAAAAACATTTATATATTCAATATTCAAGTGCTGATGTTTCAGAAAAGGACAAAGTGCACTCTTCTCATAGACTCTATTCATATGAAGCATATTACATCTTCCTTCATATCTTATACAATATTAAATATCCCATGTAGTTGTGTGAAGTCATCCACACACCAAAGAGGTGGCAGCTTGTGAAAAAAACGGCAGTGAATCATTCCAACATGAGAGACGACCTGAGACGGGCAGGGATGTAACTGGCAGAACCAATGTGGACGTCACCTCCGGCATCCAAATCTGTCGTCCCACAGTCACTGGTTAAATTCGTTGCACTCGTCTGGTGGTGTTTGTGGCCAGGTTTTTCTGAGTCATGGCTACAAAAGGCAAGAAGAATAAGCCTGGAATTCAAACACGGGCCTCTTACTATAATACTGCCACCTGTTTTGATATATTTTTTTTTGAATAAAAGGTCACCTGAGAAGTTCAGCTCATATGTGAAGCTCGGAGTGTTGAATCTCATAGTACCAGTTGGGTTCTGTTGGTACTGGAGCTCAATGTCCTGACTGGAAATGGTGCACTTGCTCTGCATGATGCACACAGTCACAACACACATTGAACTGCACTTAATGTATTGTTAAAATGCGGTTAGCTGCTAGCATACCTTTTTACAAATGTATTGATTACAGATGCAACTGCTTATCATTACTATTATCAGGAAAAAAAAGTTGTCTTACACTAGAATAGTCTCTCCATATTCCACCGATATCTAGGAATTGCCATCGCGGCGTTGAGCTCAAACTGAAAAACAGAAGAAAGCTGAAAACATTTACAGCTGCATATGTACCGTTTATCTTACGAACACACTTTTCACATCCTGCTGTTCAGCGAATTGAGCCGACATTACTATGCAGATTTAGTGTATAGAGGACATGGACAAAAGGTAGGTCCAAGGTGTTTTGTTAAGGGGTTTTTAAATATCTACATACATCTTAAGAACACCTTGAGGGATCTGTGAAATGTTTCAAATTGTACTTACTCTTTTCAGTTAAGTGCTTTGTGAGTTAAGGCGCTTTTAAGAGGCTTTATTTTTACCATTTCAATTTAACAAACAAATAAGGGATGTCTAGCTATCAATTAAGATGTCCAACTTGTTTTCTGAGGTAAATTAAAGGTTGTTTCAATGATATGTTGTATTTGAAGGGTTCTCCTTTCACAGTGAAGTGTTTCTCCTTGCCTGCTGCTTTGTTGACTCCCATTGATGAAAGTCCTCCTCACTGCTCTTGTAGTCCCGATACGGTTATTGACTTGACACATTCCTATGAACCAATGTAGAGAATGTTCTGTTGGTTTCAACAAAATCATTGATTGTTTGGTTGAACAGAAAAGCAGTTTTGTAGTTGTATGTGTGTGCATTACTTGAGAAATCCAGCGTGTACGAGAAATAACTGGTATTGAAGTTCAGCTGTCCCTGAGGGTTCAGCTGGTATTGACTCTCGATAGCAGGGCTGTCAAATGAACATAACTACACACAAGCACAAAAAAAAAAAAAAAAAATCAGTTATACAGGAATGCACACTGTCCCTGAACTCAACGTTAACCCTCCATGATGATGTGGAGCAAGCTGAAAACAGGTGCACAGTACACAAATCCATAGATAATACTGAACTAATTAGAAATCATTAATAATCTGAGGTATTTTCAATTTGATCACCAGATGCCACTGCCTAGTCTGAAAGTAAGACATAAAAGTTAAATATATATTTTTTAAAGCATACTTATAAGCATCATAAATATTAAAAAGTCTGTGTTTCTAGCTGAGTGTAGAAACATTTTTGTTAGGTTTCATTTGTAAGCTTCTACCAGCTGAAATCATTGGATGCCCCACTTACATGTGCTTGGTATTCTGTCCATTCACCCTCATTTCCCATGAACTCCCACTTGTAACCACCAACAGCATGCTGGGATGAAGAAGCCATGGATGGAACTGAGTTAGGGCTGCAGAGACATGAAGAGACTATCATGGTCCTGCACACAGAGGCCTTGAAATGGTGAGAAATATTTCACTGGGTCATCACAATGAAGCTCCATCAGAACCTGTTTCTATCAAGGACTTCACCTCCCTCACTGCCATCTCTTCATCTACACTTTTATGCACTTCTATTTATGTTTGCTTAATTGTCTGAATGCGGAGGAGAAACACTTTTGTGAAACCACAGTGGAAAAGTCTTACCTCACTGTGCTGGAAGTGAATTTTGGACGTCTGCGTACATTTCTGCTTAAACCTGTGATATAGTTTGTTTGGGTCATGGCTGTAGAGTAAATTATGGTCCATTAGATTTAGCCGTATAAAGAAATATTTACTGAAATCAATGTGATCATGCAGTTAAATTAACATACTGGAAAAGTTGAGGCTGTAGTTTGTAAAGCCCACCATGAATACAAAGGCTCCCTGAGGGCTGAGAGTGTACTGATCCTCAACATCTCGACTGCTGACTGATGAGGCCAACATGCCGGAGCCCTGAGAGGAGGAGGAGGAGGAGGAGGAGAGAGGACTTTCTGAGAAACCTGTTCATCAAATGAACCAGAAACTTCATGCCAAAGGCCTCCTCACCTGAGATCCATATTCACGCCACAGGCTGTCATCTCTGAAGTACCAGGCCACCTCCTCCCTCTGGCCCTGAGGTAGGAAGCTGAGTCTTCTAACCTGCACACCCGTTTTCGTTGTTTGTAACGTATCAAAGTCTATGAACACCTGGCTGCGAAGACACAGGATTCAGTTTGAGTTAGTACTTTTTCACCTGTTTTCACCAACACAAAACCCATCCATCTGTCCACGTACCACATATATCAATTTGCAATTACTCTTAAGTACTGTAAATTAGTTTTGTGTCATTACTTGAGTTTCAATGGGGAATGTTAGTCAATTAAAAATACTAAATAATGGCACAAAAAATAAGCTTTGGCAGGTTTAACAGTGACAATGTGACTCTTTAAAAACTGTGAATGGCCAAACCCTATTCAAATACTTGCATATTATACACAAGTGCTAAATTTTCAAGCTACTTTTCTGTCATTGCTAGACAAACAATTACGCAGCCATTTTCTTTGGGAAAGAAAACAAAAAGTCGTTCCAAGATTTAAGTTTAATTTGCACTTTGTGTTCACAAGGCTTAAAATGAAGCCAGTTAAAATCACAACACTGACCCATTGCTGGTATTGATGGTGATTCCTTTAGCCCCAGGTTGGCAGTAATGGGTCTCAATCACATGGTCATTATCAATGGTCAGCCACTCTTGTCCAAATGACAGCTGCCACTTATAATGATTCCCACAGCCTGTAAAATAGAAGAGTATGAGATCATTTGTGTATTCTCTAAATAACACGTTATCCACATAGACCCTGCCATGTTTAAATGTAACCAGAGGTCTTAAGCCATTTAGCCCAGGGGCTCTATCTGGCTGTTGATATTTGTAGAGATCATTAAAAAACTGGGCAGAGTATTTAAATGGAAAGCTTTATCTTTCCCTTTAAAGTATGTACAAGGAAATAATTTGAGCCAGTTTGTGTCTTCATATACATATTCATATAGAATTATCAGTCTTTCCTCGAAGCTCAGTTTGTCAACTTAATAAGTCTAAGCTTGAAATTCACTGTAGGTCTATCAAGAGACTTGAATACAGGTCTGCTGTATGTAAAGTGGTGTAATATAAATAACACAATAGCAGGAAATTATGTCAGACCTGAAGCCACCTGCAAATAGTCCAACTGCTGTTCATTTTCCTATAAGCAACAAGTACAATTACAGATTACAATGACAGTAAAATATCTGGCAGATACAAAAGCACAACTGGGAATGACAGCTTTCTACGGACTCACCATGCCAAGACGAAACCACACTGTAAAATAAAACCGCCGATCAAACAGACAAACGATCGATAACAATCAATCAATCAATTCATTTGCGATTTCGATGAAAACTTTAAGTTGTTTCACGAAATGTCCATTCCCTTACTCAGACACCGAAATGAAAGTCTGGCTATGTCCCTAAACAGTGTCTTTCACTTTCTGTTCTCACAGCTGGCAGCGAACAGGGCGCGGTGTGTCAGGGCCGGTCCGTGGCATAGGCAGCATAGGCCAATGCTAAGGGCGCCGTACATCCAGGGGGCACCAGAAATGGAGGAAGACAAAAAGTGTAACTTCCACTATTCTTAAAATTAGGCTTCAGAAAAGAATAAGCCCACCACATTAATTTAACTGCATAGCAGCAAAGCCTACTAAGTAGTAGTAGTAGTA